GATGCACATGCACGCATGTGTGCACATGTACCTGCATGCACGCATGCACATGTACACGCACGAGCTTTTGAACATATGCTTTGTTTCTAAGTGATAATTGAAATCCTCTAGGAGGCAGAAAAGTTAGCAAAATATATATACAAGGGTCTTGCAGTTTCTTTAATGGAGCTTGTTCCATTTGTTCATCAATGATAATAGCTGGCTTTTATAGCTTTTATGTTTAGGCACTGTGCTAAGGAGTATTCAACACATGCGTGCACACACAACTGTGTGTCTTCATTCTCTAAAGAAGTGTTGCTTCCCTGTTCACCAAATAAACACCTTAAGTTTCAGAAGCTTATTTGCTACAGACCCTCTAAATACCAAATGAAGTTTGGGATTTGAAAGTGAGAAATGTCTGGCTCCCAGGCCTTTGCTGTCAACTGCTGTTTTGCATTGCTTTGCAGACTGAATCACAGTTCGGGATCCCTTTCATTTCTGGCTCCAGCTGCAATTTTGGGGTCCCCAAAAACCGTCCATAGTCTTAGGAATTTGTTAGAGGGACTGACAGAGCTCACCAGAGCCATTATACTCACTGTATCCATGTTACTATACTGGAAGGGTACAGATTAAACTCGGCCGAGAGGAGTGTCTAGTGTCACCTTGCACAGGTCCTCTCCGAGTGGAATTACGTCGATGCCTGTTGCTGCGAGCATCACGATGTGGCGGTATTCACAGAGTATTGCCAGGCCCAGAAGTTCTCTGGATCTTGGTGTCCTGCATCGCGACTGGTGTGCAGTCTGTGGAGAAAACCCAGGTCTCTTAGACTTTGAAGGTCAGGTTGATAGCTTGGGTCTGTAGGCCCTAGCTACATCAGTTTTCTCTTATCAGGCAGAGCATTTCAGAGGCTTATAGATTACTTCCCAAGACCCCCAAGAAAAGGCCAAATCTCTCATTAATTCTGTACTACACAGAACAGTTCATATTTGCTAAGGGTCTTATGGAAACCAGCATAGGAGTGACTTGGGGACTTGTGGACAAAGCCAGTATTTTTAAGAGGAAGTATGTGGTAAGCTTTAATGACCCTCATCTGAAGTTTCCATATTTATAGTGCCACCTCTGTACTGTGTTTGAGCCTTCCCTTCGCTATTTAATTAAACCCAACCTGAGGAAGCTCGTTAGATTGGTTTTACTTTTTTTAATCTGTGTGTCATTTTCTGGCTATAGTTCTAAATTTATATATTTCCTTTGTTTTATGATTATATTTCTGTAATTTGTCGTAGGTATACCAAATGGTTTTCATAACTTTCTATAAAAGTTTTTCAGGGCTGGTGAGATAGCTTAGTGGACTAAGCCCCTGCATAGGCTAGCGCAGGAACCAGGCTCTATCCCCAGTCCCACGTGCCACACCGGCCCCACCCCCAGGCGTGCTGAGCTGGCCACCCAGTCTGGGTGTTGTGATGCATGCCTGTGATCCCAGCGCTGGGGAGACTGTAAACAGGAGGATCAGTACGAGTCCGAGCTGCGCAGTGAGACCCTGTACCAAATACATTAAAAAAAAAAAAAAATCAAAATTCAGCACAGTAAATTTTTTCTTGTTACAGTATCCTAAAATCAGAAGCACTAAAATCAATAGGATACAAGTTGCCTTGCTAATTTAATGTTGTGATTGTAAAATGTTAAATGTTTTTTCATTGAAAATGTCCTAAGTTATATTATAGCATTCTTAAAATATTATATGTAGAATATTGAGGCAAAATGAATTGCTTTGAGTTGTCTGTGAGGCGGGTATTTATTTCACTGAGGTGTTGGAGTTTACTCAAGTTGTGCTTTAACCTGATTATTTTCTGCATTAGGGTATCATTTATTATGTTACTACCTCCTCCAAGTTAGAAGAGTGGCTAGCTAATGAGACAATGCAGGAAGGACTTCGCGTATGTGCAGATCGGAATTACGTTGATGTCGACCCAACCTTTAACCCAAACATTGATGAAGACTATGACCATCGGCTGGCAGGCATATCCAGGGAGAGTTTCTGTGTGATTTACCTCAACTGGATAGAGTACTGCTCTTCCCGTAGAGCAAAGGTAAGATTGGGTTATTTTATTTGCAACACTTGGAATCCAGATATTTCTTTTTTCTTTTTTCTTTTTTTGGCAGAACCAGGGATTGAACTCAGGCCCTTGTGCTTGCCAGGGAAGCGCTTATTCCACTGAGCCATCTCCCCGGCCCCTGGAATCTGTGTCAGATATTTCTGACACGGGAGAGAATGATCCTTTTTGTTATTCTGAGGTCATTTTTTTGCTGAGCTGATACTGGTCTTCTAGGTTAGAGAACCTAATTTGGTCATTATTATTATTGGGCAAGACTAACTCTGCCAAAATAGTAAGGAAAGTGACCCCTTCTCAGTTGTTTCAGCTCTGATCTCACTGTCTAGGCAGTACTTCTCTGTCCTGTGTGTGACAATGTGGATACGCAAATTTGAATCACACGTATTATTGTCTAAAATCTGGTCCTTTTGATACGGGGTCTTTCTCTGCAGTTCAGGCTCACCTTGAACTCAGTTGGTAGCCCAGGCTGGTCTCGACATTGCAAGGATCCTCCTGCCTCGGCCTCCTGAGTGCTGGGATTACAGGCCTGTGGTCTACCACACCCGGCTAAGATCTAGTCCTCCTTAACGGCTACCTACCAAACTGAAGGATACTTGAGAATCTTTGTCCCAAATACAAAGTCTAGACCAGTGATGAAAATATCCTGTGCTGTCTAATGTCACACCTGGCAGTAAACACTTGAAATGTGGCCCAGTGCAAGGAATCAAACTTTGAATTTGTTAATTTTAATTGATTTAAATGTAGTAATTCCTGCTGGCTACTATGTTTACTGTACCTCTAGACCACAGAATCTTCACTATTAGTATAACTAAGAAATGACCTAGATTTCTACAAATGGTTCTTGGGCCTTACCTGAGCGTTCCAATTCAGTAAGTCCGGGCTGGGGACTGTATTTCTGAGAGCATCTCGACTCGAGTCACCCCTGGATGGTTCTGATTCAGGCATATCTCCAGCCACACGTTGGAGCAGCTCGCCTTTACAATGAGCTGCAGACTTTCTCGACTCCTTCCTCCCGTTCTTGTGACTCTCGTAGCATTGCCAGACTTCGTGCGCAGGCGCGGGGCCAGGCTCTGTGAGCAGAGCTGCTGCTTCCTGCCAGGACTGCTTTCCAGCAACAGCCCTGGGTAATTGAATCGGCAGCGTCTGTCTGCTTGGTGCCGTGCAGCGTCGTGCGGCACCTTAGCCCCAGCGCTTTTGTCCTGCTTGGGGCCTGCACGCTGGTCATCTGCAGCGCCCAACGCTGGCTTAGTCCTTATTTGTCTTGTCCTGTGGGGCACCGTCATGAGAGTGGGAGGGGCGGTCCTTGTACTTCCTCTGGGTATTTCTTTTGACCTTTTATACTCGATGTACAGCATACACTGATCAAGATAGCATATTTTTATAGAAGTAAAGATAAGCAGAATAAAATAACCTAAGAAGCTTAAAAAAAGATGAGAAAACCCCATTTAGGTATGGAGAAGTTTAACAAAGGTTACCCTCGTTCAAATATATAACAAGCAATTTTATTTTTTCGTGAAGGAAGTACACTTCAAATGCTTTGCATGCTCTTCTCAGATCCTTGCACTCTCCTTTTTGGCGGGGGTGTGTGGAGTGGTCATCGTTTTCTAGTGTCTCTTCCCTGGCTTAGACATTACTGACGCTCATTGCTCCCTTAGAGCAGGACTTTGCCTACCTACACCTGAGGACCTTCTCTTAGGGGTTATTGCCGCATCATGGACATAGTTCAAGGAAGTCCTCCTGGCTGCCGACGTACACTCAGGAGGTTTGCCTGTAAACATGGGTGTCCCCAGTCTCTTCAGAGAGCTCGGCCTCATACGTGTGCTATTCATTGTAATCCCTTTAGAAGAAAACTCTGAGCAGCATTTTCCAGCTGCACATGCTCCCATCTGCTTTAGGTTTTCTTTCTGAATTTTAGTTTTTCTTTGAACAAGATGATCCCACCTCCTCGGGTGATTCTGTTCTCCGAATCGCCAGCCCGAGAATCATCTCTCCCTAGGAATGCTTTGGAGCCGTGGAGAGCGCTGGCCTGGCTGCAGGCCCTCCCCAGAGGACTGGGAAGTGGCTGCTGAGTCTTTCTTCTTCCATAGTTCGCTAATGCACAGAAAAAAGTCACCCATTTCTTCTCTCAGTGTGCACTGGGGTTTTTTTCTTCCTTCCAACTTATTAACTGCCTCCTGATTTCTTAAATATGTACATGTTTTTCTGATAGCTGTTGTTTGGTTTTTTTTAAAAGCCACTGGATGTGGACAAAGATTCATCCCTGGTAACTCTGTGTTACGGACTCTGTGTTCTGGGACGGAGAGCTTTGGGAACTGCGTCCCACCACATGTCCAGGTAAACAAGATTTGTGCTTTTCAAAAAGAATATAAACAGTTAAATGACCCAAGTGTGAAATGTGGTTTTTTTTTTTGTTGTTGTTTTTGTTTTGTGGTACCAGGGATCGAACTCAGGACGTTGTGCACGCCAGGCAGGTACTTTGTCACTGAGCTACATCCCTGACCCTGAAATATGTTTTAATTTTTTAAAAAAACATTTATCTATCTATCTATTTATTTATTTGGTACAAGGTCTGGCTACACAGCTCACACTCTAGTGATTCTCCTGTTTCAGCCTCCCCAGCACTGGGATTACAGGCGCACACCATCATGCCCAGTTTCTGTGGCCAGCATGGGTGGGGGTGCCAGGGCCTGCACAGCATGTGGTCCTGGAGATCAAACCTGGATCTCTGTGCTTTCCAGGCGGGCGGTTAGACTGCTGAGCTGTCTCCCCAGCCGTGAAATGTATTTTAATAGAGGCTTCATTACTTTATTGCTGGTATTTCCTTCCATTTTATTTTTTGTAGTCTTTTGCTGAACATGGTTGAGTTATATTAACTAGTTAAGAGAACTGGCTTTTAACGTTCACACACGTGCGCTTGATTCAGTAACACATAAACTAAAATCGGAACAATACAGAGAAGATTAGGTTGGCCCCTGTGCAAGGGTGATACAGAAATTTGTGAAGCATCCATATTTTTTTCTTTTAAAAATAAAAATTCAAAATATAAAATAATGTGTATATAAGACATTTTATAACATCACCATAAGAAGTTTGATCCATTTTCCATCTATGATGTATATTTTCCCTAACATACTCACCTACTTTTATTGTTTTCACTTGTGGCCTTTGTCCAGTACATTCATATTTTTAATGTAGTTATGTATTAGGTTTTGTTACTCTGAATATAAAATGGATTTTCTGACCTAAATATCCAAATGTGTCAGAATTAGGAAGTTCGTATTTAGGGGCCATACTGGGAATTGGACTCAGGACATTGCTCTTGTAGGCAGGCGCTGGTGCTGCTGAGCTGTATCCGCAGCCCCAAGAAGTCCGTATTTTAAATTCCTCCTGTAATCACATGTTCTACATTGGACTCCTTATTTTCCTTAACTTGCAGCCCTTTGCACATGTGTTCTCATGGACTCACTATTTACAGTGTCTCAAGAAATCACAGGTCCAGCAGGGACCTCTTTCAACTCTGACTTAGGAGCTCTGGCCTGAATTTCTGGAATCCGTATTGTTTGCGTACTCCCAGATGATTGTGATGCCCAGCCAGATGTAGGAATCAGTGTCCTGAGCATGTCGCCAAAATCTGTGCACTTTTATCTCCAATCTTAACAGTAATTTAGAGTCATTCCTCTATGGATTGCATGCCCTGTTTAAAGGAGACTTCCGTATCTCTTCAATCCGGGATGAGTGGATCTTTGCTGACATGGAATTGCTGAGAAAAGTTGTAGTCCCTGGAATTCGTATGTCCATTAAACTTCATCAGGTAAGAACATGGGCTTTTTTGTCCGCTACTTCTTCATTTGACAAGTGCTTTATGTTTTTCAGAACTGTTAAGGTGTGTATTTAGTTGTCCCCCCAAAGCTTCATGCGGTCCTTCTAGACTCCGTGATTACACCCACCTAGGGCAGGTGATCTGCACACAGGTGTAATGAGGGGAGGGAGGCCTGCTAGCTGCCACAGTGCTGCCCCTCCTTTTGTTCTTTGCTGTTTTCACCGCCATGAACACCAGCCCTCTGCCATGTGCCACTGTGCCTTATAGCCAAATATGTACTGAACTTCCACTAACTGTGAGTTAAATAAACCTTTCCTTTCTTAATTTTGGGTGTTGGCTGTTTTCTACCAGCAATAAAGAAAAAGTAAATGAGACAGGAACTTTTTGAGAAACACTCTTATCAGAACCAAAGAGAACCTGATTTGTGGAAAGACAGTAAATCTGGCTGGGGAGATAGCTCGGCGGTCCAAGCACCTGCCTGACAAGTGCAAGGACCAGGGTTCGATCCCTGAACCACACGCTGTGCCGGCCCCAGGACCCCTGGTGCACCATGGTGGCGCACACCTGTAATCCCAGGGCTGGGGAGGCTGAGACAGGAGGATCACTCCGAGTCCAAGCTGCATAGTGAGACCCTGTACTGAATGAATGAGTGAATGAATGAATGAATGAATGAATGGAGTGAGTAGTTTTTTTTTAAAGACAGTAAATCCTAAAGGTCTACAGTGCCTTTGTGTGTTTAGGAGTCTGAAACTGCCTGCCAGTGTCATGTTATGAGTGTCACACTAGGCTAGTTCTTGTAGAAGCAGATTCAGAGTCCAGGATTCTCATGTAAGGCGTTAATTGAAGGGAATGCACTTACGAATTTCGTGAAGAAGTATTAGAAGCAGTGTTGTAGTTGTGGTACTACCATGTGCAAGCTTTGTAAGCCTAGGAAGCCAGCCAACACCTCTGAGCTTCAGTTTTGAGATGATGTAAGATGCAGGTTTTATCTTGACTTTCTTGACAAAGTTCTTGTCTGAGTAAAAGGATATGCTGAGAACGTACCTCATAACGCATCATTCGCATGTGTAGTATTTTCACAGGTACTTACTGTCCCCCTAAGCTGAGGGGGTGGTCTTACTTTTTGTCTTTTGGAGGGGTATATACTGCTTGGGTATGGAACTGTATCAGCTTCTTAATTGTAAGTGTAAAAGCAACCCATATTTATACTGTATTTTCTTAATGTCATACCATTTTAGAAATTCAGGTTACCAAATTAATAATTTGTGTTACAATTATTTTGGTATTTTGCCCCTATAGTTTGTACTTTTGTAAAAGAAAAATACTTCGTACATTCCTGTTCAACCCATGCTGCCCTGCGCAGAATCATGCCCATGGTAGCTGAGGAGTATTTATAGAATGAATGAGGAGTTAAGACTGAGAGGCTCTTCAGGGAAGGCTAACTGCATTCTCTACAACAGGGGCACTTAATCTGTCCACATAGGTCAAAGCTTTTTCTTTCTTTTCTTTTTTTTTTTTTTTTTTCTGCAAAGCTTTATTCCAGAGGGGCTCAGTCCTTGGCAGCTGCCTTCCTCATGGCGTCCAGCGCGCTGCCCAGCTCCTCACGCTTCCTCTTGCGTGGATGTGCGTCCCCACCCTTCTCTTGATGAACTTGAGGGCGCTTGTCCTTGGAGACCTTGAGCAGCTCCATGGCGCGCCGCTCGTAGGGTCATGGGGCGAAGCCGCACACCTCCTGGATCATGGTGAGGCATCCGCCACAGCAGCTGTGCCTCGCTTTGCTCACATGCTCAGTCACCTTGTGGCCCTTGCTGAGGCCCACGGCCATGGGAGAGTGGAGGGCCGTGGCTGCTGTTCTTCAGTGGTTGCTGTGGCAGAAGTCTAGGTCAAAGCTTTGAGCCATATCTTAACTGGAGACCAGGGGAAATGGTATATTAGAACTTCTCTGGAGACATTGCTTTCTGTGAAAAGAACCTGTGAAGAAAAGGATACCATATTGACACCTTTTTGGATCTTCTTAGTAACAATAAGTGATTGCATTAGAACTAGAAATGATACTTGTTTAAAACAGAGTGAAAAAAATAAGTAAATAAAACTTAGAGGAAGTGGTTGGATTCACAGAAGCGGTATAGCGGTTCCTAACCAGTTATAATTAAGAGCACAATTTTGTGCCTAATAATGCTAATATGTTGATAAGTAATATCATCCTAGAAGTCATTCTTTACTTTCCTATAAAATAGGTTTGGTTTTTTTTTACGTTTATCTGTGTAGGATCATTTCACTTCTCCAGATGAGTATGACGACCCCACCGTGCTCTATGAAGCCATCGTCTCCCACGAAAAGAACCTTGTGATAGCCCACGAAGGGGACCCTGCCTGGCGGAGCGCCGTCCTCGCCAACTCCCCCTCCTTGCTTGCTCTGCGGCATGTCATGGACGATGGCACTAATGAGTATAAAATCATCATGCTTAACAGACGCTACCTGAGTTTCCGGGTCATTAAAGTGAGTTTTGTAATCATTTTCTTGTGTTTTTTTAAAAGTTGGATAACTTGATTTAAAGTTTTACAGTGATTGAAACTTCTTACCAAAAAACCTGACCATACTATCTTAGCATTTATTGGTCATGATCCTTAGTTTACTTAGTGTTTTGCTGTGTTCTTTGACATTTTCTTGGGTTCTGTAAAGCCTTAAAATTCTTCCTCAATCTAATGTTGGCAGCTCTTACCCATTATATGCCAGGTCTTTCATCTATTATATATGCAAGTGGGCCACATCTAATAAGAAATCAGCACTATATTACTATATATTGTGATTTGTGGGTTGCAAAACAATAGCATGATTTATGTTCATGGTGATTAGAAGCTAACTGAGTGGTTCACCCCGACTTTTCCTTGGGGATGTATGTACCCAAATATTTTGAAACTTTAGCAGGCTTAGGTCCTGTTATTTTGATACTTTATAATGATTGATTTTATCTGCATCATTTAATCAGCCCCCAAAGAAGCGCTAAGATTCTTTCTTTGAAATCTATGCTGCTTCTCCCCTCACTTGATAGCTCTGTAGGACGGCAGGGCTCTGCAGGTGCTCATTACTTAACAGCTCACTCACGGTAAAGGTCAGGTGGTTAAGTCCTGTTCAGATGTGATCTACTCATGGCTTTATTTTTTCCTTTTTATTTTATTTTATTTTATTTTATTTTTTACAGCAAGTTGTCACACTGTCCTTTGTATCACTCTCCTTCCCCCTCTTCTCTCTCCCGATTATATTCTTGGCCCCTTCACCGGTGTGCGTGCGCTTTCGTTTCCAGGTGAACAAGGAGTGTGTCCGCGGCCTCTGGGCTGGGCAACAGCAGGAGCTTGTCTTTCTGCGGAACCGTAACCCAGAGAGGGGCAGCATCCAGAACGCAAAGCAAGCTCTGCGGAACATGATAAACTCATCTTGCGATCAGCCCATCGGCTACCCGATCTTTGTCTCTCCCCTGACAACTTCTTACTCTGACAGCCATGAACAGCTTAAAGAAATTCTTGGAGGACCTATCAGCTTGGGAAATATCCGAGCCTTTGTAGTGTCGACCTGGCATAGGTGAGGCGTGGAGCTGGGCTCGTCAGTGGCGTGTGTCCCAACCCTCTTGGTCTTTCAGGTAGTGTGTATTAGCCTACTGCTGAAGCTTGTAGAAGAAGTTTAGGTGCCATGGCACAATAGAAACCTGAACTTCAGGAAGCAGGATCAGAGCATCTTTGTCTTTTAAAGCTCATGAGATAAATGCAGTATATAACTCCAATTAAGAACCATTGCTGTAGGGCTGGCGAGATGGCTTAGAGGACTAAGTGCCTGCTTAGCAAGCACAGGGACTGGGGTTCGATCCCTGACCCCACATGCCATGCTAGCCCCACCCCCAGGCACACTGAGCTGGCAGTCAAGTCCAGGCATGATGGCACATGCCTGTAATCCCTGCACTGGGGAGGCTGCAAACAGGAGGATCACCACTGTGAGTCCAAACTGCTTAGTGAGACCCTGCACGAAATAAAAAAGAAACATTTTTAAAAAGAACCATTGCTTTAGAGCTAGGTGTGGTGGCATATACCTGCAATCCTGGCACTCGGGAGGCTGAGGCAGGAGGATCACTGAGTTGAAGGCCAGCATGGGCTACATAGTAAATTCAAATGCAACCTACGATACACAGATCCTGTTTAAAATAAA